AATAAAGAGCTTGGATTGCCGTGCCGGTGTTGTGTGCTCTCGTTCAAGGGACAGCACGCGACAGGAAAGAGTACTATAATTCATGAGCTTAAAAGTTGCCATTTCAAAAAATTATAGAAATGAATGAAGACTGCAGGTATATCTCAGCACCCCACAGGAGATCTGGGGGAGGCCTATTTAAGGGCCAGAGAGATGGGTCAGAGGCACAAGGGCCTGCCTGGCAAATGCAAAGTCCTGAGTTTGAACCCTGGTACTGAAAAAAAAGAAAAAGTTGCCCTTTCATTCTTCCATTTTCCCTATTTTGAGACAGCATCTTTCTATGCAATTCAGGCTGGCCTGGAATTCACTATGTAGACCAGGCTGGCCTGGAAATCAGAGCAATTCTGCTGTCTCAGACTCCCAAGTTCTGAGACTAAAGGCATGTGCCACTATGTCCAGCTTTGTTTCCTTCTTTCTCTTTTTCTGCAGGAGGGGTTACCAAGAATCAAACTCAGGACCTCAAACTTTCCAGGCAGGGGCTGTGCCACTGAGGCACACATATCCCAGCTGCTTTCTTTCTTTAAGGCAACATGTCAGCATTGTTTTCCTTAAAATAACTCTGGTGCAATAAAACCAGTGGTTTGTCACTGATTTATTATTTAACAAATAAGGAAGTTGGGACACAAAGAAACTAGCTGAATCATTATCTAACACCACACAGTAATTTATAGGGACAACTCAAATTTAAAATCCACTTTCCAGAGCCAGCCAAATAGCGCAGTGGATTAAAATGCCTGAAATCAGGCATAGGGGCCAGGGGTTCAATCCCTGGGCCTGCCACACTGGCCCATCCCCAGGGCATGCAGAGACAGCAGTTGAGATTGGGCGTGGTGACACGCCTGTAATCCTAGCTCTTGGGAGGCTGTAAACAGGTGGGTCACTCCAAGTCCAATCTAGTAGTGAGACCCTGAACACCCTGTAGACTCTTCCCCAAAATACAATAAATAAATAAATAAATAAATAAATAAATAAAATCTACTTTCCAGCTCCTGAGCCAGCGATCTCTATGGGTGCCAAGAACAAGAGGTATGCTTACCACCGGTATTTAGTTTAAAATGAGGCAACAGCGTGCCGCCTCCCAAAGTGTTCCTGGAGGTCAGCCCTGCTGACCATTGCACCAGTCAAACCTGTGTTGCAAGATGGCTTCATGTATTAGCTAGAAAACTGTGTGTGAGGTCTGACTCAGCCAATTGTAGCTCTCTGTGGGAAAGAAAGCATGTTATACCTCAAATACTGCATGTGCAGTACACGTTGTCCTTTTGTTTTGTTTTTACTTATTACTTTAAAGAGAAAAAATTTTCAAAACAAGGCAATAGGAGGATAACAATAGCTAATACATTGCATATTGTTATCTTTAAATTAGTTATTCAGAATACAGGATATAGGCATTTACTTGTCTAAACAATACTAGCACAAACCTTTTTCAATGAACTAAGAGAAATTAATAGTCTAACTCATTGTGTGTGTGTGTGTGTGTGTGTGTGTGTGTGTGTGTGTGTGTAATTTGTGTACTTTGTACAGGGTTTCCATATGCAGCTCAGACTCATAGTGATCCTCTTGTCTCAGCCTCCCCAGCACTGGGATTACAGGCATGTGCCACCACACCTGGTTTTGGTGGCCATCTCTGTGGGTCCAGGACAGGGCAGGCATAGCATGAAATACCAGGGATCAGGCAGCACTTAGACTACTGAGCTATCTCTCTGGCCTACAAGTTAACTTTTTCATATTTTGCAATACTGGAGATCGAACTTGGGACTTTGCACTTGCCAGGCAGGCACTTATGCCACTGAGCTACATTCCCAGCCAATGCCCCCCCATGCCCCCTTTTTTTCTTTTCTTTTCCCTTCTCTCCAACTTCATGTAAAACTCTACCACAGCATGTGGACTACCTCTACATTTACCAGTCTGATGAGGAAAGCCTGCCTTTCTCACTCTGTTATTTCATCTTTTATATTATCATTGTGGACTCAAGGACTTCACTATCTTGTATGCTCAAACTGCAGCAGTCTGGCCAATGGGAGCCCTCATATTGACCCCTTGTGTCCTTTAGGTAAGTTCCATCTTTTTATTTTCATCAGTCTTTCTTTTGCAGCATAAAGTACTCTATATTCCTGCTAGACCTGTACTGTCCTAGCCCAGGAACTTGTCATTTCTCCAAGGATTGCTGACTCCCTTTAAAGGACACAGCACTGAAGACTACAGTCTGAGCATCATGTGTGCTCATGGCTGCATGGCACACTGGCTCCCAGGCCCTTTCAGAGGACACCAAGGCCAGAAACTCCTGTAAAAAATGACCCCATGCATGGAGGTGAACTAGCACGGAGATAAACTTTCCAAGGGACAATGTTTTGAACCAGCATTAGAAAACAAAACTTATGCTCTTCTAGAACAGAGTACAAGAGTTCAGGCTGGCAGAAAAAAGTCAATATGGGCACAGTGATAAAGGACCAGGTTCACTGTGCAAAAGGACACTGATGCTTGTGGCTCGACATGAAAGCAGCTGCCGCAACCCACTGGCTCCCCACTCAGGACACAGCGTTCAGGGCAGATCCTAGCCCAGCTCGCTTAGCTTTCACATTTCCTATGGTTTGAGGCCACAAGCTACCGGATTGTTTGAACTAGAAAACAGCACAGTGCCTTTCTGTGACACTTGTGGAGCCACAAGAATCTACTTCAATTCTTCACTTGCTCCCATGTGGATCCAATGACCTCAGAGATACTGAGTGTACTCCTCACCCCGTGCACCTTGCTGGACATGAATCTGAAGCGGCCCTGGCACCAGAGAGAACACTTGCTCTTTCACTTTTTAATTAACATTTTAATGCCAACTTTATTTTTTTCAAACATGGAAGTTAACATGTAATCACTCCCACTATTCTTAGTTCATCTATTACCCCTCACTCATTTTTAGAAGAAAATTTTAAGGCAAATCATAAATATACTTTAATATACATCTCTTACACTTATTATACCCAACCGATTTAAAGTAATGATATACCATCATCTAATAGTATACAACCCTTCATTTTCTCCAAACTATTACAAAAATGTCTTTTGTTTTTAACCTGTTTAAAATAAAATTTAAACAGCCAGGCATGGGGGCTCATACCTGTAATCCTAGCACTTCAGAGGCTGGGGCAGAAAGATTGCCATGAACTGGAGGCCTGTCTGGGCTATATAGTGAATTTAAGGCCTTCATCAACTATATAGTGAAAGACTGTCTGACAAA